CAACCGTGTGGCTCATCCAAGATCACAAAGTTTTACTTCTTAGTGGCAGGGCTGGATAGAACCAGGACCCAGGTGCCTCTGACTCATCACCCAATGATCTTTCCACTACAGCTTGTTTCTGATACACTGAGCACGTGCTCTTGCGCCTTTCAGGGAATGAAATACAGCCAACGTAAGTCGTAGTAACAACACCCAGCACAGCAGAGTTATGGAAGCAGCTGAGGCTTGAGGAGAGTACCAGGAGGCACAGAAAGTGACACACAATATTACTTCCAGGGCACTCCACACACAAAGTCAACCTGGAACACCGGGGAACGATGGGATTCCCTGCAGTGAGTCATCTCATAATACAGCTGACTTCACGCACATTTTACCAGGGGCACACGCATTTGTACACATGTAGCCACAACAGGCACCTGATGGCAACAGAACCGGTCTCCTTTCCCCCTATTTGCTTTTGGGCTTGTGGCAGCGTCATCCCGCTCTGTGCACTGAAAAAGCCTTTAAGGATTTCTTTCCATTTCATTAGCTTATCCGGTGGGTTGTCAACAGTGACTGGAAATAAAAATCTGTTATGCATGTGCTAGAGTTTATTTTAATTCTACTACTGCATCCAAGGGAAACAGATTTGACAATAACTGTAGCCCAACACGAGAATGACGGAGAGAAGGAAAGTGCAGGCAAGAGCAGACGGGAGGCAGTGTGTTCAGTCAGCGATTTGGTTTGTCAAACCAGTATTCTTGTCGCTACTGATAGCAGCTGGCTTCTCAGAGAAGGTTCACAAGAGCGGCTGGGGCCTCTGGTCTGTCCGCAGAAGAGCTGAGTGTTTGATACAATGGGCTCCGGGCCTGGGTACCTCCATCCCACCCACCTCTGACATACAGTGACTTAGAACAAAGAAGTGCTTGCAGGTGGGGTGGTGCGTGTGGGCCTAGAGGACGCACACTCAGAGGAAGAGCAGATGCTAAAGTGAGCTCACGTGGTCAGCTGGGGTACTATTACAAAGGTAGTGACTTCTCTCTGAAGGAAACTTTGGGGAGCTCTGACTCCTATAGGGCCTGGAAGACTTTGGAGAAGTGGCGGATAAGAATAGCAGCAGCGTAGTCCCTTTGAGTCGGTGGCCTGAAGCTCACAAGAACAGGGATGCCATGGTCATTCTGGAATGAAACCATCAGGGACCAGATGAGAGGTCAGACCAGGGGTGAGAAATAGCTTTCATTACAAATGACAGGAGCTGGGGATCTAGCTCAGCAGTACAGCGCCTGCCTGGCAAGCGGAAGGTCATGAGTTCAATTCCTGGTACCGGAAAAAAAAAAACCAAAAAAAAAAAAAAATGACAGGTTCATCAAAATAATGCGTGTGGAGGTGATGTTTAAATAAAGAAACCTGATTTTAAGTTTGATCAGTGAGTAGAATGTTGGGGGGGAGAGTTGTAAAAAAGGGAAGATGGGAAAAAACTTTATTCTTTTTATTAAATAATGAGACATTATTAAACTAAAAAAAATTTTAAAAAGTATTTCAAACACAGAGATCGTAACACAGAGACACACATACAGAAGCAACCATTAGGGACACCTGTCAGCTGGCCACTCCTGTAAGGCTCCAAATAAGCCTCACTTCTGTTTGGACCTGCCCCTGGTCTCCCTTCAACAATAGGCTTGTCCCCCTCTGGGGCTTGGCTTGGTTCCTATTGTATAAGGACTGAAGTGCTCTCTTGTCTGCTGAAACTGCTAGAATACTAAATTTGTCACTTGCAGCTTACACGGCATTTAAAATAAATACTATGAATTGATGAAATGACCAATTATGTTAAGTACCCCAGACTGCTGTAATCCAAACCAAATCTTACCCCATTATCCTCAGAACTGAGAGGTGATTCCACAACCCCCTCTCGCCAGATTGTGAATCAAAATACAGATACCACACTCGACACCCAAGGAGGACCTCAAGTGCTTGCAGTTAATTCTTACAATTGGTTTTGCACTGGAAAAAAAAATAATAAATGTTCTACGCTTCCACTCAATGCTTTACAAGCCAAACAACTATTAGACCACATAAACTGAAGCTAATTTCCTATTGTTATTACTGTGTCATTTTGATTTCAACATCAGTTTGGGTTTTTACTTCCATTATTTCTCCCCAGAACAGTGATGGCAAACGTTTTAGAGCTTTCAATGATACAAACAGCCCACTGCAATATGTGTGCCATAGGTCTGCCACCACTGCCCGAGGGTATCACAGTACAGGTGGCGCCTGACTTAGGATTTTTCAACTTGATAATGGTACAAAAAAAGGGACACCATATACACTGTGAACTGTCTTTCAAGTTTTGATCATTTCCTAGACTAGTGACGGGAGGTACAGTCCTCTCCTGTGATGCTAGACACTGGTAGCAAGCCACAGCTGCCAGCTGGCCACAGGATCACAAGGGGAGACCCCTAACACTACAATGTGCTGTGTTGCTACGATATGATGTGCAACAGGCCGGGTGTGCTAAACGCAGTTTCAGCCTATGATATTTTCAGCTTACAATGTCTGGATACAGCCACATCGTAAGTCAAGGAGCACCTGCATTGCCCTGAAGCGTAAGGTGGAGCTCGTGTTTCACACATCCGTCACCAAGTCTCTACTGCTGTGCTGTGATGTCATTTCCCTCATTCCACATACCCACATCTGTTTTCTGAGGCATTGCTCAAATGTCAGTTCCCCAAGAAGTGACAGTACCTCTGCTCTCACCATCTTGTAAAAATAAGGCTCTTTCTTCCATACAACATGCCTATCTTTCTACCCTACATCTTTATACTCTTAGTCCCTGGGGAACTGCACACAGTAGGTCCTTTCTCGGCATTCTGGTCCTGCTAGGCCTCAACCTCAGTCTTCTTGACTGTACCCCTTTAACAAACAGGGTCTGATTATCTAAAAACCAGTTCCTCCTGCTTGCTAGAGGGACAAAAATAAAAGGATATTTGAGAAAAAAGAGGAGAAAAGCAAGCATAGATCAAGTATGTTTCCTTCTATTCAAGTCTAATCTAAACCATCCATTGGTGTGCCTGGGCAGGTCCTTTCTTTATTGATCCACATCTTTATTTGCACAACTTTTGCTCGTGGACATTAACAACTTCTGGATGTCCCAGTACTGACTGCTAAGGGACTGCAAAAATACTAATTAGGAGGACACCGTATGAAAAATCTTCTCACAATAAAGTGTCTCAAGAACTCTAGACAGATCTAGCAAAATTATTTACCATCTCAGAAAAAAAATTACTGTTCATAAGTTCTTGTCTGCACTCTCAAATCTCTCACCCAGATGTACCAAAAACAATACATATTGAATTTAAACAAATACAGAGCCAATGAGCACCTGCGATTTGTATTAGTTTAATTCTCTCTGCATAAGGCAACTGGGGAATTCTTAAATCAGTAGGAGAAATAAAGCCTACAACCATAGCATACCCTCTCACCCTGCCATCACTCCGTTCAGAAATTTTACCTTCTCTCATATTTTTACCCTCCAGAAACAAAAAACAAAACCTGATATGCACAGAGCAAATTCTACCCAATGTGGAACTGAATGAACAAAAATCCTAGAAGAAAAAGCTCAAAGAAAACAAAATCCCTTTTTTTTCAAAATATTCCAAACATCAATACCTGTATCGTTGCTAGAGCTCTAGAGGAAAAATGAAGGTGCAAACAACTTTGAAATTCACTTCAGAAAAACTCAAAGGAGGATCATAATTAGTTTTCACTGACAATATCTGAAGGGAGAACCAAATAGATTTCTAAAAATTATGTATTAATTTTTGAAGGTGGAGGGAATTCCTTTTATTTTATTAGAAATTTAAAATATCTATGGTGGCTATTACAATTAAGACTAACCGAACTTGCCTGCCTACATTTCACCGAAATGCAAAGAAATTCATAAGTTCCTGATTTCATGGACTATTAAAAAGACAACATGCAGTTGCATGGGCTATAAAGCAACAACAAAAACATCTCTCCCAATTGATTGAGGTACTCCAGAAACTTGAAGATAAATGTTTCTTCTCAGCCACTTTTAATATTCTACTTCTTTACACACCCAACTGGCTTCAGTGTGTGCTTTTTAAAGGTCAGAGGCTAAACCGCTGTAAACCAATGAAAAGGCACTAAAATCCCTCATCATAAACCAATGCAGTTGTAAAGTGCTTGATACAAACACATCCATCTGCTTTTGGCAGCTGTACCACCTTGACTCCTGGCCAATCTTCAAAGGCAAAAGGGGACGGAAAGTCTGAAGACCCTTAGAGGTCAGTTTAACCACGGAGCCCATATCCAAAACAGCCATAACCCAAACATGATTTCTGAACGACTTTGGAATGAATCTTTTTGCTATTTTTAAGTAGTTATTCCTCCTTAACCCCATCCATTTCAAAACTTATAGCAGCAGGGCATGGGTGGCATGTGCCTATAATCCCAGCTTATTTGAAGGCTGAGCCATGATGACTGGGCACAGGAGTTCAAGGCCAGTCTGGGCAACACTGCAAAACCCCAACTCAAAAAAAAAACGGTAACAGCAAAAGCAGAGGTGAAAGCCAGTTTGAATTTCTCGAGCACACCATACCAGAACCAGCCTCCCAGGCAGTACACACGGATATCCAAGGACAGCAAGGAACCACTCCTTGCCCGCCCAAGCACTGGAAATATGTAAGAGGGTTTGCTTTTATCAGCCCAGTGTACACTACTGTCACATGTCCACCATCACATGACTCCAATTCCACCAAAGCAACCCAAACACTTTTGGAATATGACCACAGACAATGGGCCAAAGAAGCAGTTCTTAGAGACCTGGTTTCAGACGTACAATTCACAGGAACCAAGTAGGAAGAAATAACGAGAAGTGGGCATGGAGATGACCCACAGCAGTCACACTTCTCCACAGAGCAGCCATTCTATGCTTGGCACCAAGCGCCAGAGTGGGGAAGGAAGTAGAGGTGAAGGAGAAGGTGCTCCTAGAGACCTACCTTGCAGAAGGGCTCCATTTCTCTTGAAGAAGGTACTGCCCGGCCAGATGGGTGGACCTGATGTGCTGAAAGAGGAGACAAACAACATAAGGCTTTGCAAACTCGTTTACACCGATTCAGCTGCACGCCTCCAAACATTGCTCAAAATGGCCTGAAAACATCTTCCCAGTTACACGTTATTGATGCCCTCCGAAAATGTTAACTTTAAAAACCACTGGGTTTATCTAATTATACACAGGCTTCAAATTTCACACAGAACTGTCCGTGTGAATGTCCTGGTTACCACCTTGGCCCTGGTCAGACCTAGGTACTGAAATTCCCTGCAGGTAAACAATGAGAAAATGAACATAGTTCAATGGCATTGCTGGGAACTTCAGACGTTTTACTAACCTGTTCATAATTTCATAAATACATGTAGACGATATTTAGAAATATGTAGAATTTCATAAATACATGCAGTATATATATATATATGAGAAAGAACCCTTAGCACGTCTTCTCAGATCAGGTGGCTCTTCTGGCATTTCCTGGTACCACCCGCCTGTTACAAATAAAAACTTGCCTTGCTTGGCATCTCTACCACCAAATTCTCTCTACACAGAGATGACCTTGATCGACTCCCTCCCTCCCCTAGGCTCTTGTTTCACATCCTGTTTTTAATTTCTTGGCTTAAAATGTTGCCCTCCATATCCTATAAAACACTTTGCAGATAGGTTACCACCCACAGTCTGTTAACAGGAGAGCCAAGAAATTATAAGAAAAATCAATTTATCACAAAGACACTTCCAGCATTTATAGATGAGCATTTTCACTGTTTTAAGACATCCAAAGGAAAACTTTATAAATAAAAATACCGTTATGGTAGAAAGTACGTTATTCTGAATCAAGGGTTGGTTTAGACTGATGTTGGAAAGCATTCAGTTCAAAATCTTACTATATCCAGCCCAAGAGGAACATAAATTCCTTCCATCAAAACAACACACAGCAAATGATATTGATGAATGCATTAGCAGTCACATTCAACATTAAAAAATTGGTCTGAGGTACACACAGCAGGCACACCTGAAGGTCTACGACTGAATGTTTTACTAGTTGACAAAGGTCTCTGGTTATGTAGGATAGCAATACTACTAACAAGGAAGGGAAATGCAGGTAACAGTCTGCCAAAATATCATTACCAGAGGTACAAAAAATATTGCAAGCATAAGGACATAGAACAGCCAGGCATGGTGGTGCATGTCTGTAATTTCAGCACTCAGGAGGCTGAGGCAGGAGGATCATTGCAAGTTCGAGACCAGCCTGGGCTACAACGTGAGCTGAAGGCCAGCTTGAACTGCACAGTGAGACCCTGCCTCAAAAAAAAAAAAGGACACAGTACATGAGTGAGAAGTTGGGAGGGAAGAATAAAATGTCAAGAAAATGTCCAATGTACTAGAAAAAGATGCACAGGTGTATCTCACTTTAGTGTGCTTCACAGACACTGTAAGGTTTGGGGTTTTTTGTTGTTGTTGTTGTTGTCTGTTTTTTTAAGCAAATTAAAGGTTTTTGGCAACCCTGGCTCAAGTAAGTGTATCAGCACCATTTTTTCCAACAGGTCAGGTGATCGTTAGCATTTCAGAACAACACAATATTTTTAAGTTAATGCTCTACAGTGTTTCTTACACATAATGCTATTGCACACTTAACAGGCTCAAATGCAGTGTGAGCGTCACTTGCACACGCACTGGGAAGCCAAACAATTTGTGTGACTTACATTAGTGCAATACTGGCTTTAATGCAGCAGTCTAGAATTGAAGCTGCAATATCTCTGCCTGTACTGTGAAGCTAAATGTTAATGAACCTTTTTGTTTTATTTTGTTTTGGATCCACCACGTTCAAAGTAAATGAGAGTAGTGCATCTCCGTCACGGCTTTTCCTGCAGCCCTGATTCTCCGCCCTGGTAGATGTGGCCTATGGGTGACCAAGAGTTGCACAGGACAACAGTCCTGGGCTGCAGGATGGCGGCAGCAAGCTGACGTCTCGTCACCTGATTCCATTTGAGGGCCTTTAAGGCTCAAAGTTGCATGAAGAATAATGTGCATTAAAATGCTTAAGATGATCTTTTAACAACCCCTGCAAACTCCTAGGGTTTTACCATCTTATTTTTTTTTTATAACAAAGCAAGAAACAGCAGGCTGGCTGTTGGCAATATGGAGTCATCTGATTCATAAAGATATTCAAAAACTGAGGAGTTCATTATAAAGGAGTTGATGCTTCTACTGAATTCAATAATTGAGTATTACTGCGGGAGTCTGAATATCCAGCTTACTGCCATCCAAATCTCCTCTTTATCCTGACCTTGATTTGGCTGAAAACCGAGCAGACACCAGCGGATGGAGCAAATGTGGGGAACTGAGGTCAGATAAATCCAGTGGTTTAGATAAGGAAAATTCTCTGTATGATAGAAATCTACGGACAGATTTCTTCGATATCCTTTTAACATACTTAAGTCACTGGTAACTATTCTATTGCTATTCTACTCTGCTCTCCCTCTAATCTGTACTCTAGCGGTGGAGAGAGATTTGGACTGGTACACTGCCTTCTCTGGCCTGGCCCCCACTGTAACTGAAGAATTCACCGGAGGGGTAGGGTGGGGGTGTCTCTGTCCAGCTCAGGGTGAGCCAGCTCCTGCTATGCTAACTGCAAAGTTTTTGAGCTCCTCTACCCCAAATTATGCACTCTTCTCTTGGATGGTCCCTCAGTAGATACTGTCTAAGTGCTGAAGATTTCAAGATTTAAGAAAGCCTCTATTGAGAACCATACAGAAGACTCCGAGAAGAAAAAAATTTTAAATCCTATCTTATATGACGTCCAAGATCAAACTGATGTACTTATCTAGCTCCAGCCTCCTCGGATTCTATCTAAAGAGACAAGAAATGCTTGTAGAAAGGCTAATGGCTCCAGGGGCTGCAGGCTGAGGAGGCAGCAAACTGCATTTTTTTTCCCTTCCAGCTGCAGGCATCCCGGGCTGACTGGCTTTCTGGCTCAAAGTTAGTTAAAAACACGTATACATGAAGTTACTTTAACGTGTATATTAACTACAGTATATCAGAGAAGTAACTGTGATCAAAGTGTGGGAGAGGCTGCAAACCACCCCTTCGAGTGGCAAGTCCAGAGGAAGAAGGGTGGCAACGGGGTGCACAGGGAAAATGGGGTGCTTCTCAGACCCAGTCATATAAACGCAGTGGCTTGGGAAGGGTCGCTCCACACAGAATAGTCACTGAGGCCCCCTTAGCCCTAACTGAGTGGGTTTTAATCACTTCACAACGGTCCTCACATTGCTTGATGCAGAGATCACAAGTTACCATTTCCTGGGCACAAATAACCAACACGTTTCCAAATGAGGCCGTCCAATTCTATAGAGCGGGAAGGACAGAAATCACCTTCCAATTCCAGAGACGCAGGGACTTAAGGGAATCACATGGGTGCTGAGCCCATCACCAGACCAGGTTCTGGAGCCAGCCTGAGGTATTGCAGAGACACGCAGCAACAGCCCCAATTCACGTCTCTTCTTGCAGCTTTCCTCTTCCGGTCTCCCAGCACTAAAACTCGGAGCCGTCCTTCCCCATGGAAGAAGGCTGTGGGCGGCATTTTGTTAGGAATCTCTCCAAGGCAAAGGCCCAGCAGAGAAAAAGCAATCAGCCTAACCATATGTGAAGGACACGTGGGCTCCTGTTCGTGGAAACAAGGCAACGCAGGCACAGCAAAAGTCTCATTTCAGTCCTGTGCTAACGGAAGCCCATGACCCTCAGCAGCAGAAGCTAAACCCAACTTGGTGACAAAGCAGCAGACCAACAGGTTAAGAGGGCCCTGCCTGCCAGAAGGTCGGCCGCTGAGCTGCCAGTGGACTACACTGATCCAGCCGAGCCAGCAAGTCTCCAGAGACCAGCGATACTATCCCGAGCAGCACACCGGGCGTCCACCAGAGACTCCCGGCCCTCAACCATCCCCAGGCCTCACCGTCTCCCCTCATTATTCCAGCTCCCAAGGGGACACCGCACGCCAACAGATCGCAGGCCTGACGTGGCTCTTACCAGTGTGATACGATCTGTCACGTGTCCGCCTACACCCGTGAGCTTCGATCATTGTGAGAACCAGCTGGATTAGTAAACTCAGACCCTGGGAAGTTCTGGCAAGATCCACACCTGCATTCAGCAGTCTGGACCTTCTGGGGGCCTAATGGAAAGCAAGCTGAGAAAGTGCTTTCTTTCTAAGAACCCAGCTGCCAAGCCTGAACTGATATACCTGAAAGAACAGGGGGGCTCGAGGCGGATGAAGGCTGAAGGCACACTCTGAAAGACGCCAGAACAAAGAGACAAGTACTATCTGATGCCACGTACCTGAGGTCCCCAGAGCAGTCAGAGACACAGAGACAGAGAGCAGAAGGGTGCCTGCCAGGAGCAGGGGGAAGCGGGGCTGGGGGAGGGGTTCTTTAATGGATGCAGAGTTTCAGTTTTACCAGAAGAGTTCTAGAGACAGGCTGCACAGCAATGCAAATGCTTAACACTACCAAATGATGTGCTTAAAAACGGTCAACACAGGAGAGCTTGGGAGGCTGAGGCAGGAGGATCACTATGAGTTCAAGGCCAGCCTGAACTACACAGCAAGACCCTGTCTCAAAAAAAAAAAAAAATTAATAAAAATTAAAAAGGTTAACATAGCAAAGGCTGAGGCAGGAGGATCACTATGAGTTCAAGGCCAGCCTGAACTACACAGCAAGACCCTGTCTCAAAAAAAAAAAAAAATTAATAAAAATTAAAAAGGTTAACATAGCAAATGTTATGTAATTTTGAAGTTTTACCACTAATGCATAAAAAGGAGGGAGGTAGAGCAGGAGAGGGAGAAAGCTGGGAGGGGCAGGGACAGAATCTGAAGGAAATGAATGGAAGCCTAAAGAGTTTGGGGCAGGAGGGATGGTCTGATCCACATGCTGTGATTGTCCTCTGGCTCACACAAGAAGGGTCTAAAGCTCAAGGAAGGGCAGAAAGCCCACAATGTCCAGGGAAAGGACACATACACACAGACA